CCATTATGTTGTCTTAGTTTGCCTTAAAGGTTAGTATTTTCCTTCTTTTTTTTTGAGTCAATTATTCATTTCTTGAAGCTTATTTTTTCTCCTGTATGTGAGTTTTAAAGCTATCAAGGTTTCCCTCTTGAGGGTGAATTTAACGTAGTGATTGTATCACTAATTCAAGTTGTATCTTATTTTGTAGAACTTGTTGGGGTTTTCCTTTTCCATTTTTTTTGGAGCCAATTGGAGAAAGAGTAAAAATTTGTCCAACATTCACATGACAACGGAAACTAGGATTCACACAAAAATTCATGTTGATTTTCTTCTTATTTCTACCCATTGGTTGCTTGTATGTTAAATTTGTTATGTGACTTTTGAAATTATGATGCGTGATGAGTGTTTGGTTCATGAAATGTTGATTGTGTTGTTGCATGTAATGTTTTGATTGTGTTTTGTTGTTGGAAATTTTTTATTGCAGATGTTTGAGTTGTGTTTTAGGGCTATTGATGAGATTAGAGGTTTCTATTTGGACAATTGGCCAAATTGATGTAGTTAAGAAAACATTTTAAAATGGATTTGAGAAGGAAAATAATACAGGGTGTAAAATTGAGCAATTGTGCAATAATTGAAAATCTAATTTCACAAAAGTCGTTGATAAAGTGTTGAGCGGTGACTTTGTACCATTAAGCGCCAGTTAAAAATCCTAGTCTTAGAGCATTCTCGTGACAGAGTGCTGACAATTATTTTTACTGTTGAGCTTTACTTTGACAAGGAACCCCCTAACTTCGTGGTGTTGAGCGCCAATTCCTATCGCTCGGCGCTACGTAGTTTTCACTCTACGTCCCCTTTATAAAATGAAGATTCTCGTAAGGATCAAATTGAAATTTTAACATTAGGTCCTAAACACATAGTTCTTTATTTTGACGAGTTAGATCTTGATTTAAACATCTTTAGTAAGAGCAGTTTTTCTCGTAACCTTCTTGAATATTAGATTGTTCACAACTTTGGCTTTTCTCACTAATTTGATATATAATTTTTTCTATAGTTATCCAATTAGGTTAGTTCTTTTTTGCATTGTATTTTTTATTCAATAATCTTTAATTCGAAGGCGAAGGTAAAAACAAAATTTTTGAAGTTCTACACACATTATAGTTTTATTTCTAAAATCCAAATAGTTTGTGCATATGTTGTCAAGTTGTCCTTTGTATCTTTAAAACCTTGTGTGAGGATGTGCAGATTAATGCGAGATGGAATTCATTAATATCATATGAAACCTTTGAGTGACGTAAAGATTGTAGAAGTGCACACACGCATACACACATGGAAACACGTACACATGCACACGAACACGCACACTAACACATGTACACATGGACACCCACCCCTTCATCCACCCACCTACACACACACACATGTGAAGTAGGTTAAACTTCAAACTCTCAAGAATGACCTTGAAAGTGTGAGGGTGAAAGAGGCCAAAGGAGTTGTTGAGTGCATCTTTAATGTTTAGATTGTGGTGAACCAGCTTGGAAGGAATGGAGAAATAATGCCCACTGTCGAGTGGTGGGGAAAATCTTAATGTTCATTAATCGACGACTTTGAGAATATAACATGCATAATTGAGGAGTTTAAGGACTTGTCAAAACTCTCGATTGAATAGCTTGTCAGGTTGCTTGAGGCACATAAGTAGCAGAGAAGGAAGAAGAAGAAGAAATCTCTCGATCAAGCACTTCAAGTAAAGGCAACTATTAAGGAGAAGAAGACACCTTATACTCAGAGCACTAAAAGTCATGGTAGTAAAGGTAGATGAAGATATGAAAAAGGTAAAGAGCAATCCGAACAACAAAATTGACATGGTCAAAGACGAGGTAAAGATCGATGACAAGGTATAGACTAAGGAGGTCGGTTAAGAAACTCAGGAGTTTGGAAAGAATAATTTAGTGAAGAATGTGTTCGAAAAACATTCGAGGACCTCGTTTTTAAGGACTATCACGTAAGCAAAGGAACAATTCAAATTGATTCATATGGATCTTTATGAACCGATTACCCCTAAGTCTTTTTAGTGGGAAAAGATACTTTGTTTCCTTCATTGATGATTTCTCAAGAAAAACTTGTGTACTTCTTAAAGGAAAAATTCGACGTGTTCAAAATATTAAAAAGGTTCAAAGTAATGGTTGAGAAAGAGACGGGCATGCTTATCAAATCATTTATGTTTGGTTGAGGAGGTGAGTTCGTTTCATTTGAACTAATGAAGTATTGTGAGGAGCAAGGGATAAGTACGTTTTTTACAACACCATACTCACCCAACAAAACAAAGTTGTGGAGAGGAAGAATTGAACCATGCTTGACATGGTTCAAACAATGTTGAGAAGAAAGAACATGATTAAAGAGTTATGGGAAGAAGTAGTGTAGTGCATCATTTATGTGCAAAATAGATGTCCACATGCTAAGTTGAATGAGAAAACATCATGAGAAGTTTGGAGTGGAAAGAAATCGAGAGTATCTCATCTTAAAGTGCTCGACAACATTGCTAATGGCCATCTTCAAACTCAACAGACCAAAATTGAAGACAAAAGTAAGAAGTACATGTTCATTGGGTATGATGAAAAAACTAAGGCCTACATATGGGTTAACTAATAAAAAAAAAGTTATTATGAATTGAGATGTTAAAATTTATGATGTGAGCAAATGGAAATGGAACGAAGCAGAGGAGGAGTCTATTGGAACTAAAAGCTCAAAAATTGTTACACCATCTGCTGAGAGAAATCATGAGACTTTTGATGAAGAAGATGAACCTCTACAGCCCATAGCACGAAATTTACAAGACATATATAACTCCATTGACAAAGCGCATGTTGTATGTTTTTTGGCAGAAAGGCTTGAGCTTTGAAAAGGTAGTGTAGGAGATCAGAGCAATCGAACACACGTGGAAATTGACCAAATTGCCCAAGGGACCTCGACCTATTGGCATAAAGTGGTGTATGAAAAGAAGACAAATGCTGAAGGAGAGTTTGAACGATATAAAGCCTGACTCGTTGTTAAAGCATACAAGCAAAAGGAAGGAATATATTATGACAATGTATTCACCTTAATCATAAGGATGGAAACAATTTGGTTGTTAATTTCCTTAGCAGCTCAACACAAATGGACAATCTTTCATATGGATGCGAAGTCGACATTTATAAATGAAGTCATGGAGAAGAAAATATTTTTTCACTTGATACATGCGTAGAGGAAAAGAGAAAAAAATGCTGAAATTGAAGAAAGCATTTTATGGCTTGAAGCAAGATCTTCGAGCATGGAATGAAATAATTGATACTTATTTTAAGAAGAATAGGTATGAGAAATATCCATATGAACATGCTCTATAAATAAAAAAGAATGGAGGAGATGTGATGTTTATTCCCTTGTATGTTGGTGATTTCATCTTTATGAGAAACAAAGCTGAGTTGGTTGAAGAATTTAAAGAGCTGATGAAGAAGGAGTTTGAGATTGGTTTGAAGTTGTTTTGGGAGAGGAAGGCATCTTTATGTCCCAAGAAAACTATGTTTAGGAGGTTTTGAGAAAGTTAAAGATGACAAGTTGCAACCTAGTTTCCACCCCTATGGAACCTGGTGCAAAACTTTCTAAGTATGGAGATGGAGACAAAGTTTATGTGAGCAAATACCGAAGTTTGATTGGAAGTCTTAGGTATCTTACAAATACAAAACTAGAATTAATGCTAAGTGTTGGAATAACAAGTCGATATATGGAGGAGACAAGGCAGACTCACTAGAATGCACTAAAAAGAATTTTAAGGTATGTGAGAGGAACATTGTCATTTGCCTAATGTATACGAGGACAGATAATTATTGACTAGTTGGCTACTCTGACAATAACTGGTGTAGAAATTTTGATGATCAAAAGCATGTATGGATATGTATTCTTTATAGAAAACACAACATTCATCTGACTTTCAAAAAAACAGCCATTGTAATGTTGTCAACTTGTGAAGTCGAGTATACGTTGTAACATCTCAGAGTGTTTGTAATGTACTCTGACTTAGAAACCTTCTAAGCAAGCTAAAGATGAAACAAGAAAAAAAGATTGTGAAATAAGTTAACCATTAAATTGGCGAAGAACATATGAGAGAAGCAAACATATTGATTTCGGTTTCATTTCATCTAAGAATAAGGAGAGAAGGAAATGTGAAATTAGAAAACGTTAGAAGTCGAGCACAAGCTATAAATATGTTCATGAAACCATTGTTAACCACTTTATTCGAGAATAGCAAGAATGATTGGAATGAAAGACAAAAAAAAAATTAAGTTTAGGAAGAAATTGTTGAACAAACTTAAATATGGATAGTTAAATTTAATGATAAGTTAATATGTTAATTATCTTAAAAGATTATAAAGGTTAAAAATGCTTATAATAATGATTAAGACATACAATAAAATTTCTTAATAATTGGTTTAATAATAGTTACATTTGCATGTAGTCTAAAGACCTAGTACTTTTCAAAGTTTGATACAGATCATAATATCAAAGTTTGAATATTTAATAAAACAATTTTTTTAAATATATACATAGTTGAAAATATCAAATTTACGAGATAGTTAAAACTTAATCAAGGTCTTTTTATTAGTTTTGTTTTTTCACCGTTACTAAATAGAAAATATTAAATTCTTTACTCTAAGTAAAAATTATTGAAGAAATAGTTTAGAAGAATATAACAAAACATGTTTTTTATAGGTAAAATAGAAAACATAATAACTATAGGATGGCGACATGATTCTAAAGATGCAACACGACAATGACAGAAAATGTCGACACCTGCAAGAATGGTTCTCATTTCTTGGTCTTTATCATGTCGTAGTTCTAAATGAATGTGGACCAATGATAGCATAACAAGTGAAAGAAACCGAAGAATATCACAGAGAATGACGCTAACAATATCGTAAAAATGAAGCCCACACGAGAACACCTTTGCTTCAATATGTTGACACATTACACTTTAAGGTTGATGGCATGACAAAAAATCGGAGAGTTTTTCCGAAAAGAAAAGTGATTTAAGTTTAACATGTGACGTCGTGAAAGATACAAAATCTCAGAACCTTAAATGCTGATATTAACTTTAATGATGATCTTCAATTTTCTTTGTTTGCATCGTTGACCTGTTTCTTTTGTTCTTGGACTAGCATTTGCAGATTTCGTTGCAGCTGAAAACCAGAAAAGTAAAAAGATAAGAGTAGATTTGGGATTATCTTTTTAGAATTAACATTCACAAATTTTGAAAATCTGAAAATGAAAATTTTCACGCACCTCTAATTGTTCTTGAATACCCCTCCCAATCTCAAGTTGCAGTTTTCTTGACTCCTCAATTTGCATACATCTGCCAGAAACATTCAATTACGTTTTAGAAACATTTGTATAAAGTGATATGGAAGTAATTTTGAGAAAAAAGATCAGACATTTGGACCAGCTTCTTAGCTGCTAGAAAAATGAGAAATAACAAAAATAAAATTAACTTCTGCACATGAAAAATTAGAAGAATTTTTAGAATATGAGATTTTATACTTTAGTTAATCTAAACAACCTAATAATTGAATAAACCTAATAACTGTTGCATGGTACTACGTTACATTTTCTGCTGAAGTTCAGTCACCATGTCTCTGCCATGACTTTCTTCGTGCCCTTCTGCATTGGAAAGACAACAGTGGGAGGTGATTTAATCCATAGAAGAGTATATATGCAATTAATTCAAACTCTTTTTATTATTTAAGTAATATTTGACAATAATAAGCAAGATAATGACTAAAAGCATAACTGTTAATTACATGACATAACAAGGCATCCATTTCTGCTATACATACATGAACATATTGAACAAGAATTTATACCTCTGGAAGTGTTCTTCACGTACATAGTGGATCGATATTTCTGCACCCAAGTAATGCCAATTATGTTACACTAGTAAGTAACATAGAATTCAAGAACATAAAGCTAATTCGTTAAGAAAAGATTGCAACCTGCAAGTGGCTTTTAACATGAAAAATTGTCAGGGACTTTGAATTCATCATCTTTAGCACTGCCTTGGGCGTTGCTTCTGCAAGTTAGAAAAAAAAAAAGACAACGAAAATTTTCATGACTATTTGTAGCTTCTCTTCTCCATAGTTTAAACTTTATACAAAGTTAAATGCAACTCCTTATATCTTTGACATTGTTCTCTAATGTGATAATTTTTCATAATTTGTCATGTTTCACTAATAAAAGGATTAATTTGTTCTAATTGAGAAACTTGAAGAAATCAAACTGAAATATCTTCAAACTTATCCCACCAAACTGAAATTTAAAACACAAGTGACTATAATTCTATTTTGTCCTCTAATTTGAACTTAATTAACTTACTTTGAGCACCACCAAGATTGTTAACAGCTGCTACGAACTGTTGATGCAAATCTTTGGTCCATTTTATTCCTTTTTTCCTCGTTGGAACCATGCTAGAAGCTGAGTTTCCAGAAGTGGCAGAAACAACCTCAACCTGAGAGAGCAAAAATCCAATATCATATTCATAGACCTCACTCAAAAACAAAACACCAATCATAAACACGAAGCACGAACCCCATTAACCGGGGCAGAAGCACCACCCTCCAAGATGTTCTTTTTCTCGTTTCTGAAATGCTCGTAAACATTATACGTTTCACAGAACGTGTCTTCATGGCTGAATAAGAAGGAATCAACAACACTTCCGAACAGTGGAGGCGAGTGGTCTCCAGAAGACTGGCACAGAAAATTTTGCGAATCGAAGTTCAAACATGAAACGGGGACATCAAACAGATGTTGCTCATGATGTTGGAAGTTGAAGCTGTTGTTTTCTGAGCCTCCAACGTTGGCCACACTGTTATGAACTCCGTTCAACTCCTGCGGAGAATGATACATAGTGTAGTCTTAGTGATGAAAACTTCTAATTCTTTGATGTTTATATATATGTGTGTGTGTGTGCTTAAAAGTTGTCACTGTTACCTATCATTGGCTTAATTTTCAATTTATTTCTGAACATAAATGGTATGCAAGTATAACAGATTCCAAGTTTAACCACCTACTTTATAAGTTTAATAAAATAATAAAAATATTAAAGTTAGTATGCACGAGACCAAGGACGAAATGAAATCGGTTCCAAAAAGCTGTACAAGACGACATAACGTCCACGCAGACAATGTTATCCTCCTGAAAAAACTAATTAATTACTATTTAAAAAACTCCAAACTAAAAATTTCATTAAAAGAAGTATGAAATCTGATCTAATATTCATATTTATTGCACATTATTGACTCGTCGAAATAACATTCTTTAACCAAAACCTAGTTAAAATACATATTTAAATCACTACAAAAAATATCATTAAACAAAAATCAATTTTAGAGATCAACAATAATTAATTATTATAATAACTAATTTAGATACTAATTTATAAAATAGAAATTATAATTTGAAAACTATTTAAAAATAACTTTTAGTTTATAATTCACTACAGTTAATTAATCACTATAGTATATAAATTAGTCAATAATTTTTAGATTATAAATTAGTAAACTATATATGAATAATTTTATTAACAGTTTTTTTTTTCAAAAAATAGTTTTTATTTAATGGTTTTTTTGTTATTTAATTGATTGACCTGGTTATGAAGAAACATAAATTCAAGTAGAGTCAACAAGTATCTGTGTTCAACGAGTGGAGTTGAGTCTTGTAAAAACAGTTAATTTGTATGTTTGAATATAGTTTTTTAACATTTTATTTTTAATTTTTGTATATTATAATTTTGATTTATGAAAGAAAACGTATATTATGTTTTCTTTTATTTTTCTTACTTGAAAAAGTAATAGGAGAAGTTTCACTTGGAAAAGAGATGAAGTAGAGAAAGAAAAAAAAAACCGGAGTGTTAGTACTGCTTTCATTTGCAGTACAGCATCTCTGCTGTTGGAGTACAACTTAAAAAAAAAAACTTATTTAGCGCAATAATAAGAAAATTATACTTTCACAACTGAAAAAAAAAACTCTTATTTATCATTGATTTAATGATATAATAGAATACATAAACACTTTAAAAGTAGAAAATAAGATTAAAATATTAATATTTTAAACTGTTAAGTGAATGTGTACTTACTATAAAAAAAAAAGATAATTAAAAGCTAGTACAAAAGCATACAAATCGATAATAGTGTTGACTTTTTTGCATTTAGAATTAAAAACTGTAGAAGCACATATGCTAACAGTGTAACAATGGCTTTCTCAAATGCAATGAATGCTGATAGTAACTTTCACTAAGACACTGTCCCAAAAATTTAAATAATATTAATTGCAATTTACTTAAACCCACCCTTAGAGTCTCTTAGGATGATGTTAATAAAATATAATGCAATTGTTTATTGGATATAGCATTAGTTTAATTGAAGTTAAGTGCCTATACTTTTATGTATGTTTTATGTATATGTTTTTTTAAGTGCCATTGAAGTTAATAATGTCAATGTACTTATCTATGCATGCAAGCATAAACATACATACATGTGCACATACGCACACACATATACGTATGCACACACATGCATCCACATACACATGTTTACATGCAAACATACATTTGTATGTCTGCTCACCCATGCACGCATTTTGACATGTCTGCTCACATGCACACACACGCAAGTATGCATATACACACACGCATGTTAGGATGCCCACTCATCCACATATCCATGCACACACAAACGCACAAACTTACACATGAAAGAACACACGCCCGCTCACCCACACATGTCGACATGCCTGTTTACGCATGCACGCCGACACCCCGTTCACGCACACATGCTAGCATGACACACACACATTCAAGGAAAGATTAAATAATAAATTTACTAAAACTTAACTATCCAACTATCCAAGATTTAATAACATAATTAGGATAAGGTTAAAATAGCACTAAGACCTTGTTCACTTGAATGGATTTGGGGGAGAGTGATTGAGGGGATTTGAGATGATTTGAAAGTAAATATTTTTGTTGTTTATTTAAGTGGATTTGAAGGTAAGTGAGAGCGAATTTGGAAGTAAAGTTTGTGAGAATTACTGTAGGATTTGATTGACGTGACAGATTAAAAAAATTTACTTTCAAATCCACTCTCAGTTACCTTCAAATTCACTCAAATAAACAACAAAAAAATTTACCTTCAAATCCTCTCAAATCTCCTCAATCACTCTCCCCCAAATCTATTCAAGTGAACAAAGCCTAATAGAAGTTGTTTTTATTCGTATATTGAGTGTGAACTTATGGACAGGTGGCAAGATCATAATGGTGATTTGATTACTCCTATGACATGGAAAGGACTTCCTTGCACTTGAGAGGAGGGGAAGATTCACTTACAAAGACTTTTTGACGCTCGTTAGTAAGAGAGTTAGGATTTATAAGTGAGAGTGAGTATTATGAAGTTAGTATTCCCTGGAAAATACTAGTTGCATTATAGGATCAACATGGGTCGTAGACTTATGTTTCTATTGGAATAATACTTACATGAAGAGTATAATAACAATATAACATAATGATAAATAATAATAATAATATACTAAACTACCGAAATTTTGTTATAATATGTAAATATGATCTAAATAGACGTAGATTGGACTATTTCATAATGGAAAAAACTTAAAAGACCTTATTGGATCGTGCTATTTTAATATGTCTATTAGGTCGAGTAAGAAAAAAAATATTTAGTAAGTGTCTATGGATAAGATTTTCACATAAAAATAGTGTAAAATTATGATACATTGGTTAAACACTAAAAACACATTAAAATTACAACACAACTAAAACAATATGAATAAAAGTAATAATAGATTGGGAAACAGTTCTCAATCATATTAAAGCAATGTATTAAAGCATATATCATTTACCTTGTGAAATTCAATTTAACGGTTGGTTGTGAAAGTCTTTACCATGATAGGGTACACTTAATTCTTTCATTTGTTTCCTTAACTTCTCATGAGTTCTTTCTGTCTGTCTTAAGTTGTGTTTGATTAAGGTTAAGAGTTAATGTTTAGGGTTGAATGAGAATAATAAGAGTTATTTAGAGTCTTAATTTTTCATGAATTTTTTGGTCTTCCAAATTTACATTATGAGATTAAATTATTATTTAATTTCAGAAATCAAATTAGAAATTATAATTTGATTTTAGAAATCAAATTATGAATCAGTTGAATTTTGAGTTGATAATTAGATACAAATTAGATTGAATTAATTCACAGTTGTTATTCAATGACATTTTCTCTAATGAATTAATTAATTAAACTAATTAATTATTATAGTTTAAATGTGAATCATTAGAGCTTTAGAGAACTTTGATAAAAGAAAGTATACGGGTCTTGAATTAATTTTGTGAATTCACCTTTCACTTTCTTAATTTTTTTTAATTCTTGCATTTGATTTTTGTTTGAATTTCAATTTGTTGAGTTCTAAAACCACAAAATAATGGAGTAGGAAGAATATTAAACATTGAATATAATAAATATATGCTTTAATAATCAATATATGTTTTGTTTTGTGGTAGGACATGTCATAGTCGAACGTTAGATAAAGAAAGAAAATTTTCTTTTACAAAGTGTATTATCTCCATGATATTGTGTAGGCATTATCTCGGCATAAGATTCTTCATGCAATATGAAGTGCAATGACAGTCTAAAGGTTAATCTAGAGTATATAATTGGCATTATAGTTGGGATCATATCTATTATTATTTATTAATAAAATATTACAAAGATACGTGTCATCACTTGCGGAGGAAGTTGAGATTGGACCGCAAGTCTTTGTCTTAGAGATATTTTCCTATATGCTCGCAGCCAACGTCACTTTTGGTGTGCAACGTTCATGTTTGTTTCCAACGTTGCTTTTCTCTCTCCACAACCACCGATTTTGTACTTTAATTTTAAGGTTTGGTGCCACTTTTTACGTGAAGTACTCCTCAAGCTAAGGAGGGTTAGTTCCATCATAGGCTCTATAAATAGAGCTTTTCTTTCATTCAGAAGATATGATCAGAATCATTCTTCTCTCTTTCTCTTTTCTCCTAGTTTCATTCTCTCTCTCTTTTCCTAAAAATATTATGGATTTATTTATTCTCTTTTTAAGAGATCCTTGCCAGTTCTGAGATCTTCAGAAATTCTGAGAAGTTCCTGTTGTATCCTGGGGGCTTGCGCAATACACCGCGGATAAGTCCTTAAGGACAGTGATCTACACGCCTTAGGAAGTATTTTGTTCGTGATCTTTATTCTTTATTGTCAGCTTCTACAACAATCTTAAGGACTTATGGCTGACAACAACAACAACTCAATCCCGGAGAATCAGAATATTGTTTCCAGAACTCAGACGGTCTTCGCGAAACCTTTCCCGAATGTATCAAAAATTGAAGTCTTCTTTGGTCAGAATTTCCGGCGTTGGCAAGAACGCGTGTCAACCCTCTTAGACATGTATGGAGTCGCTTTTGCCCTTTCTTCTTCAAAACCCGACTCCACTCTCCCTCCAAATTCAAAACAAGTTGAAGACTGGGTTCATGCAAACAAGGTATGCCGTCATACTTTACTTAGTGCACTCTCTAACGATTTATTCGATGTATATTGTTCCTATAAGGAAGCGAAAGAAATTTGGGATTCGTTGATTCTCAAATACACTGCTGAAGATATAGTCAGGAAAAGATTCATCATTGGGAATTACTATCGTTGGGAAATGGTTGAATATAAGGACATAAAGTTGCAAATTAATGAGTACCACAAGCTACTCGAAGATATCAAAGTGGAGAACGTTCTTCTTCCAGATGAGTCTGTTTCAGAGCTTCTGATAGAGAAACTGCCGCCTTCCTGGACTGATTACAAGCAACAACTAAAACACAGGCACAAGCAAA